TTCTTAATGCTTCCAGAGAGAACTTGTTTCACATGCTCTTTCACAGGTTAACATCTCTGAAGTCAGAACTCAGCAGCTTAGTCAATGACATACCATGGTGTTGACAACAGCCTGTAGATCTTATTTAAATGATATGTCTTAAAATCAATGACTTCTTAGATTCATTAAGCAGTATATAGATCAAGAACTTTTAGTTACTTCCTATTTCTTCCAGTTGAACTTCAAATCCTTTTGTCTGTCAATTTCTCATTGACCCCAGCTTCTTTATCTTCCGCCTCATTTGTGCCTATCTCCTGTTGCAGCTCTCCTGTGATTGCCCCAGATTACTTGGGTCCTTTGCTGCAGGCTCACACCCCACTGTGCTCTGTGCTCACTGTCTTCATCCTGGGAGACACAGCTCAAGGGGCATGCTTGTAATGATTTCAGCCTGCCTTTCTCTCATCCTCCCTATCATTCCCTGTTCCTCAGGCAGAATGGCACCCTGTTGCTTGTTCTCAAAGCTGTAGTCAGTCTGCTTTAATAGCCAGACACCTTCATAAGGCAGAGACCACTTCTTAACTCATCACATCTCTGGCGTCTGACAAGCACTGTGTTCTTAGGAAATGTTTCAGTTCAATTTACTAGAACATGGAAATCTAATTTCTGGAGGAAGCTTGGGAATAGACTTATAAAACCCTGGGTATTTTGTATCCCTTCCCATGATGTGCCTGCCTTTCTACAGCTCATACTGATTTACTCTTAAAAAATGCTGAGTGTGCTGGCCTCAAGATTCTGGATAGAGGAGGCCACATTTTTGGGAGACTTCAGCACTTCTTATTCCTGTGATTAATGAGATCTCATTACTGTGAGACACCTGCTTGATTCCCCCCACCCCCATTTTTCTGTCTTCCCATGAAGTTTGACATGGGATATGTTTTGAAATGCAGAGTTAATTTTGTGGTCTCCTGGCTATTGGACTTGGGGGAAAGGTAATAAAACCATCTTGAAAGGTGGGTCTGCCTCTCTGTAATCAAAGTGCATTTCTTAGCCCCCTGTGAGCTTGGATTAGCACTGTCTGGTGGAAGGGTTGGCAGTGGAGGCTCATATCCTACAGTGCCACTCATGGTAGCGGTCTTGGGCAAGTTGCTTAATCCCTCTCTTAGTTTCCCCACCTCTAAAACAGTGTCCAGTGAGATGAGACAGCTCACATAATGAGTCTTTAATATAGTGCCTGGAACCCAGTGGGCTCTCAAAGGTTAATTTACCTTGAATCTTTACCACCTGCAAATAACACTCAATGGTTTCTCCCTCTCTGGAAAGCTACATTTTTAACTCTCATGAATCTTATAGAACTGTCAGATTATACCAAACAAGGGAATTATAAAACTTTAAAGTTTCTTTTTTTCTATCCGTTCAAAGAACTACAAATTTCATTTGGGCATTCTGCTAGTTGCTGCATATGTCTGTTCCAGTTATACATTCTGAAACTGGGGAAATCACCCCAGGCTGGCTCGGGCACCCAGAGGGCCCACTGTCCGGTGGCCCTGTGCTAAAACACGTGGATCACCTGACCGCTAAGCCCCTGCTCTGACTGGCGAACCCCCAGTGACATTTTGAGTCTCCAGGAATTGGTGTCATTTCAGAACCAGTGTGCAGTAATCTATAAACATTTGACCATTTTCTCTTCTCCAATTCACAGTCGCCTTGGTTAATTATACGACCTAGGGCCTTGGCTGCTCAGAAGAAGGAAATTACCTGGGAGACCAGACAAGTGTTAGTAGGTTGGTTTCCTAAGGTGCGCATTTAGATTTGAGGGGGCGGTGCTTTTTCGATAGAGATCATCTCAAAGGAAAGAGTGGCCTGGCCTGGCCAGAATGCTGGTTTGGCTGTAACAGCCTGAGAAGTGTGGCATGCAGTCATCCACTTTCATTTTCCGATCTGTTTCATCTTGTGCCTCACACATGGCCTACAGCACTGGGGTTGTTGAAATCAGTGACCTCCTAGGACTAAGGCTGAGGTCCGGTGGGAATACCAGTGTTAGTGATAGTCAGGATGTGGTGCCCAGAGGACCTTACACTCGGCAAAATGTATTCCACGCCTGTGACGTAATCGCAGGAATGTGGGGTGGCCGTCATTCTCATTAGGTAGATTATAAGACTGAGGCTCAGAGAGGTTCAAGGACTTGCCCAGAGTTCTAGCCATCATGCCTCAGTCTCCCTGTGTTTTCCTTTGAACTAAGAAACCACTCAGGAGACCCACGGGACCCTGGCCCTCTGGTCCGTCCTCTTCCTGTAACTGCGCTTGGCCTGCTTCTGGAGAGCAGCGTGCGTGCCACACCCCTCCCTGTGTGTGGCTGCGAGGTGCCTGAGGGAAGGGACTGCAGCTCTGCCAGGCCTCCTCCGTCCTAGGGGGCTGCTGGGTGGAAGCACCGCAGCTCCTCATGAGCTCCGCCCCGAAGTTCTTCCCTCTCCAGGACAAGCAGCTGTGTTCCCCTGTGTTCCCGTCTGGGGTGCTCACGGATGCTGTGTCTGCGTCTGAGCCCTTCCTCTCCGGGGCTTTCCCCTCAATAAACAGCCCCCTCCCGTGGCATCCATCCCCTGAGCTGGGCCACTTCCCCAGAGCCAGCTTTTCAGTCCTGGGTCTCATCTGCCCCACCCGCTCCCTCACTCAGGGCCCGTTTTACCCCGTTTCTGTCCCCGGACTCTCATGACCGGGACGTACATTGTAGTCTGTTTTGCAGATTTGTTGTCTTGTTACTTCAGTTGCCATAGTTCCCAACTTTGTATATAAAATAATCATCACTCCCCACCCTCTATTTCCCCACTGTTTCAGTGAAAAGGTTGCACTATTTTCTGAAGTGGCCTTTGCAGAAGGGATTTGATGGCTTTTTAATCGTTTCCTTTCTGGCTCTACCACCAGCAGACATTTCTTGCTCTCCTGTTTATGACTCTTTATTCTGGAGTCTAGATTGATTTGGGATTCAGATCGCCGCTTCATTTTGTAGTGTTTTTAGATGAAGAACCTCAGCCTCCTAGAGCCAATGACCTAGAAAGAGGATGAGATGGGAAACAACTGATTTAAAAAAAAAAAAAAAGGTCTGCCCTAAACTGGTTCTGCCTGTATTACTTTGATTGTGAGTAATATAAGCAAACAAATTATGTAATTACAGGGGAAATAAGGCCTGCCAGATGTGGTCAGAAACCTAAGGGTTTTACTTTGTCCATCTTATTGCCTTAACCTAGAACTCCCAAACCACTGGCTTTGGTAGACTGTGGTAATTTGGGGGCCCTGGGTCACTGCTTCTCTTTATAATAAGGTACAGTAAGTAAATGGCTGGTAACAGGAACCCTCTGGAGCGGCTATGTGAGAGGTGCAGCCCTCGTTTTTGGTAGAATGGAGACGCCACACTTGACTGTAGGCCCTGGCTTAGTCGAGGATGATCCATGTGACCACCTCGGGCAGGCCCAGCCTCATCTGCTCGGTAAGACATCTGGGGCACTGGCAGTCATCAAATAACTTCACGTAAAGGTACAGTGGACCGTGAATTGCTTTATAAGGAATATTGGGTGTGGTGATTGCAGGGTGGGGTGGGTGGAGGCAGAAAAGGGCATAGAGGGGATAAATGGTGATGGAAAAAGTAAAATAAAATAAAGGAATATTGGAATTTGTGTGGAAATGCCAGTCACCAGCTTTCCTGGAGCTTCTGTAGTTTAAAAGGAAAGACTTGGAAAGATAGAGCTGGAGTTTCAAGCCAGCACAATTTGATTCCACCTTTACATCTACTTCAGATCCTATAGTTCCCACCAGACTTCCTATTTACATCTCTAGTCATTTGTTCCTCGGTTCTGTTAATCCATTCCATCTCTCAGCCTATAGAATTCCCTTCTTGCTTCTCCCAGCTCATCTACTGCCTGTCCTTTAGGGGCAACTTAAGTCCCATCCCTTCTCATTTCTCCAGATCTGGCAGCTCGTAGCCTCCCTCCCCCACCTCCTCCCTGCCACTGCTCATAAAATGACCTTGGTGCAGACACACAGCTTACAATGGTCGCTATTTTAGAAACTGGTTATATCTCCTTTAGGTCAAGCTTCATTAGAGACGGGGGTGTTGTGTACATACTTTGCTAGGCATATGGTGGGCTAGCAGAAAACACTGATGAATTGGAGTGTGCCTCTGGAATAAACAGACTTGTAGTGCAGTTCTAGATGCATTGACAAGAATCAGTATACAAGTCAGTAAGGGCCATTTGCTTGGCATGGAATAGCAGACATTTGACAATCTTGCATGCTTTGCCTTGTCTCATCAGCACGCTGTCTGGAGACAGTATAATGGAATACAATGGTTTTGCAGTCAAATGGACTTGAGCCTTTTAACTCTTAAGTCTCTGGGCCTCAGGTTCTTCATTTTAGAAGATGGGGCTGTTTCCTCTTTCCTCCTTAGGTGGTGATAAATATTAAATCTCTGAGCCTCGGGTTCTTCATTTTAAAAGATGGGGCTCTTTCCTCCTGCCTCCTTAGGTGGTGATAAATATTAAGTCTCTGAGCCTTGGGTTCTTCATTTTAAAAGATGGGGCTATTTCCTTCTGCCTTCTTAGGTAGTGGTAAATATTAAGTTGAATGTCAAGTGCCAGTGCAGGCGCTCTGTAAGTGGTTACACGTGGCCCTTTATGGGTGAAGAAGCAGAAGTAGAAACTTGGAAAGGTGAACTAAGTTGCCTCCTGGCTGTTCGCCTAGGCAGCAGTAAACCAGAGTTACAACCCAGGCACCCTTAACCCCAAACCCAGGTGCTGGGTGCCAGTCTCTGCAGCCTGTGTTGTACCATGTCTTGTCCCTTGACTCATCCTCTGTGAGTAGAGATGGGCTGGCTTGTAGAGTTGGCTCGTGCTGATTGTACTGGTCCTCTTGGATTGGAGCGATTATCACCACTGTCACACTTAACTTGAATCCACTGCATTCCTGTAGCCTAAAGGTGGTGTGAATGTGCCCATCTCACTCAAGCTCTTTCCGGTCTTCCTTTGATTTAGGAGAAAGGATCCTGGGTTATGCTGAGGAGCCCTGTTATCTCTGGTTTGTCATGGAGTTCTGTGAAGGTGGAGACCTGAATCAGTACGTCCTGTCCCGGAGGCCGGACCCAGCCACCAACAAAAGCTTCATGCTACAGCTCACAAGCGCCATTGCCTTCCTGCACAAAAACCACATCGTGCACAGGGACCTAAAGCCAGACAACATCCTTATCACGGAGAGGTCTGGCACCCCCATCCTCAAGGTGGCAGACTTTGGACTAAGCAAGGTCTGTGCTGGGCTGGCCCCCCGAGGCAAAGAGGGCAATCAAGACAACAAAAATGTGAATGTGAATAAATACTGGCTGTCCTCAGCCTGCGGCTCAGACTTCTACATGGCCCCTGAAGTCTGGGAGGGACACTACACAGCCAAGGCTGACATCTTTGCCCTGGGCATTATCATCTGGGCAATGATAGAAAGAATCACTTTCATTGACTCTGAGACCAAGAAGGAGCTCCTGGGGACCTATATCAAACAAGGGACTGAGATCGTCCCTGTTGGTGAGGCGCTGCTAGAAAACCCAAAGATGGAGTTGCACATCCCCCAGAAACGCAGGACTTCCATGTCTGAGGGGATCAAGCAGCTCCTGAAAGATATGTTAGCTGCTAACCCACAGGACCGGCCTGATGCCTTTGAACTTGAAACCAGAATGGACCAGGTCACATGTGCTGCTTAAAATTCAGGGCAAAGCATCTTGGGTGTTTTTAAACTAGGTGAGTGTACTCTTTTTGTTGTGCATGCAGTCTTCCTGGACTGGCTTTTTCACTGAGCCCTGGGGTGGACCCTATGGAGTTGGGAAATGTAGGATTGAAGAGAACTAAGTGCTTGTTATTAAAGATCCCCCAAGTCTTGATGAGATTATTTGAGTGTGAGTTGGAATGACTAGAGAAGTTTTCTGAGTGGAGTTGCATTTGAGCTGAGTCTCTTTTAAGTTTCCTAGAAACACGTTTTCTCATCAATTAATAAATGTTTACTGTGGAAAATGTGCAAAACAGGTATGGGCAATTTTTTTTCCAGAGGATAAGCATCCCTAATTGTATCTATCCCCCCTGCTTGGACATCCAGTTCTCTAGTTCAGATCACGCGGTAGTTAAGTACATTTCTGTTTTCTGCTCCTTCAGGCAACACTAATCTGAGTATTTTCCCATGTCATACTTTGAAAGTGTGGGTTTCATAATTAACATTTTATTATGTTTATCATAATGTAACCATTCTCCTACTCTAGATCAGGTGATTTCTCCATACTTTAGACACTATAAACAGTGAATGAGTGAATATTCTTATCTGGAAGGCTCTGCTTATGTATATTATTGCCCAGGTTTATTGTGGGCTTTCACTTGCCAAGTATTGTGCTAGGCTCTGGGGTAACAATGGTAAGTAAGTGACATCAGAAACCTGCCCCATTCTCATGCATTCTGAAGCTCAATTGGGGAGAGAAACATTACTCAATATTTATCATAGTTGCTTTGCAACAAAGGAGAACTGACCTTCCAGGGCAGGGTGCCCAGAGGCAAGAGTAGGAAATTAGGGGCAAAGAGGGGCATTCCAGGGAGAAGAAGATCTAGCCTCTGCAAAGGACCTGAAGCCAGAGGGACCCTCGCACGTTTGAGAGACTCCACCAGTTTGGGTGAGTGAAGAGTGTAGGTATGTGGTAAGCAGGGACAATAGTGGCCTACCAGGAGAAAGTGGACAGAGATCAGGTGGAAAATCCAACAGTGTGTACCAGGAATGATAGCAAGTTCAACTGTGCCAGAGCCTGAGTGTGAGCAAGATCAGAAGTAGGTGAAACCTGGGACCCTGGACTTTGCCCTTGGCTTAGCAGACTTGGGAGCCATCTGTGGACCAGAGTAGAACAATGCAGCATTGAGGACTTAAGCATGTGTATGTTGAATTGAACAAGATTGGAGACTTGGAGACAAGTTAGATCAGTTATTTTATTCACACTACTAAGGGATGTTGTTGAACCTGAAATGAGTAGCACTGAGGATTGAGAGGTGCCTTGACCTTCTGGGAGAGGACTGGTAAGACAACTGGCCAGATGTGGAAGTAGAAGAAAGAAAGAAATAGATGTGGGAAATTAATGGCAGTGCACACAAATGCTGGCCTGTTCTGGTCAGATTTGAGTTATTTTCCTTAACACAAATCCCCAACCTTGTTCTGTGGGAAGGAAAATAAAAGAGCATTGACCACCATGTTTGCTAGGCAGTTTCATATGTACACATTTTTTCTCCTTTGCAACCTTATAATGGGTTAAGTCATTTACCCAGTATCCTACTAAATTAAAGGCAGGTTTATCTTACTCATACCTCCCCCCCTTTGCCCCTTTTTTTCTTAATATCAATATGGCAGGCTGGTGGTAAGCTGCTCTTATGTTCTGCTGAAGCCGTGAGATGAGGTGAAGGGGATGGGCTGAGCCCAATGGTTGGTCACAAGGAAGGGGCTTTAGCACATCAGACACAGAGCCTTCCATCGTCTGGATGGGTTCTTAGTCCCCTCCTTTCCTTCCATCACACGCAGATTTCTAGTTGGACTTGGTTAATACTGAGTTGAGATGATTACATCTGTAGTGTTCTCAGTAAATTTATTTCTAGAATGAGTCGCTTGGTTTAATTCTTCTATTCCACAAACATTTATTGAGTGAATACCTTCCAAATGCCAGGCCAGTACCACTGCCCGGTACTCCCTAAATCTGGGTTTGGGCTAATACCACATTAAAGCCCCCAAAAGTGTTGGCTAGAGAGTGTTTTAATTGTATTTCATGCTGTCACTTCCCATTTCTGTCTCATCTTTTCCACTTTTTAAAAAACCCTTAGAATTCAAGTTTGCCCTGGAGTAGGAAGAAGGTTGTCATTGGAAGAGGGACCTGAATTTGGGTTAGGATTATGGGGCTGTCACAACTAATTGAGATCACGGCTTCCATTTGGACATCCACAGTTGGGATTTGTGCTGTTTTGCAGGGCAAAAGTTTTAGTTAAATAGTGATTCCTGCAAGTAGGAGAAATAGGTGACCTTGAGAGGAGAGAAAAATTAGAACAGTGTGTCCCAGGCTCTTGACAGCTCACAAAGACAATACAGTACTTGGTGTTTGGGTGCCTGTTTGTAGCCTATCCTGCCCTGTCCTAGTTGGGCACTTAGAATTATAGGCCGGGGCCCAGGTCTGTGTGACCAGGAGCTGAGCCTTGTGTCAGAAGTTTCATAGCAGTTCTGATCTAAGTGAGCTGTCTGCCTGGCTAAAATTGGGAAGATCTATTGAGTCCAAACACCTTTTTCTCCCGCCAAGCTTTATAGATGGAGAAGCTGATTCCATGCATTGATTTATTGGGAAGCTGTTCAGCAGAGATAATTTTAGGCACAGAAAATACATTATTAAACAAAACGGACAAAAAAAATCTTGCTGTTGTGGAGACATTCTAGTAGGGAGACAGACAAACATAGGTGATGTGTTAGAAAGTGCTAAGTGCTGGGGGCCAAGTAGAGCGGGATACGGGACATCAAAACGCTGGGAGGTCAGGGGAAGAGGTGTGTTAAGTAGAAGAAATCAGGGTGGGTCTCTTTGAGACAGTGACATTTGAGCAGAGGTTAGGAATTGAGAGAGTGAGTCATGAGGATTTCTGGCAAAAGAGCTTTCCAGACAGAGGGAACAGCCAGCATGAAGGCTTGATGGCTGTATAGTGAGCAGAGAGGAGGGTGTAGGGAGAAAGCCAACAGAGGTAACTAGGAGTCAACTAGCATAGGCCTTATAGGCCATTGTAAGGGTTTGGGCTTTTATGCTTGGGTAAGGTGGAAAGACATTGGTGTGTGTTCAGTTATGTGATACCTAATCTTTTAAAAGAGTCACTAGGACTTCTGTGCTAAAAGTAAACTATCGGGGAGCAAGCAAGGGGGTAAGATGGGAAGCTACATAACCCAAGTGAGGTAACGTGGCTTTGAACAGTGGAGCAAGGGAGGTCATGATTGGATTTGGGGTGAATTTTGAAGTCAGCCAACAGATTTTCCTGCTGGATTGAATGTAAGAATGGAGTTAAGGATGACGTCAAGGTTTTGGCCTTGGAAGCCATTGGAAGGGTAAAGTTGCCATCAAATGAGATGGAGAAGGCATTAGGAGGAACAGGTTTGATGGGAGAAAGTTAGGTTTTAGTTATCTGAAAGTTTGGAATGCCTGTTTAGAATCCAGGTACAGAGGTAGAGTGGGCAGTTGGGTGAGTCTGGAGTTAGGGAAGAGATCTGGCCTAGAGATACAAATGTAGAGATGACCAAGGTATGCAGTGAGTATAGAGAAGGTTCCAAAGATCGACTGGACTCTGGGCCATCCAACATTGCGTTTGGGGAGAAGAAAAGAAGTCAGAGATTGGAGGCCTGGATATGGTCTCCCGGAAGTCAGGTGAAGGAAAGACCTCAGGGGAAAGAAGTAATCGGCCGTGGCACATATGCCAGCCGATTGAGTGAGATGAGGACTGAGGGCGGACCGTTTGATATAACATCTGGGAAGTCCTTAGTGCTCCTGTTTTGGTGGCACATAATGGGGAAACCCATTAGAGTAGGTTTGAGGGGGAATGGAAGAAGACAGTGAGAAAATAGACCAGTGATTCCTACTTTTTGTTCTTGAAACCAAGGCCTCTAGAGAGCTTTTGTTTTATGTTTTACCTATGGATATTTGCAATATTAGAACTGAAAAATATTTTAAGTGTTCCTTTCATGTGAATATAAATAATAATAGATGCCCTGGCCAGCTTGGCTCAGCAGTTGGAGTGTCGGCCCTCGGACCAAAGGTCACAGGTTCAGTTCCCAGTCAGGGGCACATACCTGGGTTTTAGGTTCAGTTCTCTGGCCCCAGTCAGGGTCATGTGGGAGGCAGCCAATCGACAGGTTTCTCCCACATCAATGTTTCTCTCTCTCTTTCTCCCTCACCCTTCCTCCCTTTCACTCTGTCTAAAAAAAATCAATGGAAAAATATCCTCGGGTTAGGATTAACAAAACAAAAATAGTATGTTAACTTTAAGTATCCTAATTTATGAAAAATTATTTTCAAAAACATTTAGTGAGCAGAATGGCCCTGTTTTATAGTTTTGCAAATCTCTTCAATATCTGCCTTAAGTCAGCTGGATTCTCATATTTGCTTCTGCATTATAACCTGGTACCGTGTCCCTCATCATGGAACTTCTGGAAAACTCCACTGTACACTTAGGAGAGAATGAAAGTGAAAACGACAAGTAATGTCCCTGTGTCATAAAGAGGTTTAGCTCTGTGGACTCCCGAACTCCACACCATACTGGGGGAGCCGGTGCTGGGACAGAGGACTGTCCCTGAGGAATTCTGCTGGGAAAGGGAGCTGAGAAGTGGGGGCAGCTGGGGGCCCATGAAGGGACGGAGCTTGTATGTCCTGGTTCCTCGCCAGCTTTTCTACTAGACCTGCTCTGGGGACTCCGACCCCAGCTGCATGTAGGAAACACTTAAACCCCAGTCCGCACCATGAGGAAACGCCTCAGTAATCGAGGACTGTGGGTTTCAGAGTAGTGTTGAAGTCTGGGCCGCAGGGTTTAGTGTTCTGCAGCAATGCATGGAGATGCACTTGGGGCTGGAAACGTGGGATTCCTCTAAAAGGAATATTGCCGAGGGGATTATCTAGGCTTGAGTCCCATGTCTCCATGCCTGTGCTTTACTGGCGAGGTGACCTCAGGCAAGTTACCTTACCTCTCTGGGTTTTATTGTCCAT